TGAATGGATAAATAAACTGTGGTACATCCAGACAATGGACTATTATTCAGCGCTAAAAAGAAAAGCCACGAAAAGGCGTGGAGGAAACTTAAATGCATATTACTAAAGACCAATTTGAAAAGGCTACATACTATATAATTCCAACTATATGACATTCTAAAAAAGGCAAAACTATGGAGACAGTGAAAAAGATCTGTGGTTTTCCAGGAAGGGATGAATAGGCAGAACACAGAGGATTTTTAAGGCAGCGAAAATACTCTGTATGACACGACAATGATGGATACGTGCGATTACATATTTGAACGAACGCACAGATGGTCAACACCAAGAGTGATCCCTACGGTAAACTGTGGACTTGGGTGATTATGACGTGTCAGTGTGGATTCGTCAATTGTAACAAGTATACTACTCTGGTGAGAGATGTTGGTGATGTGTGAGGGTGCACATGTGTGGGGCAGGGGGCATATGGGAAATCTCTGTACCTTCCTTTCCATTGTGCTGTGAACCTAAAACTGCTCTAAGAGAAGAGTCTTTAAAAAATTGGTTGGCTAAGATTCTTTGAAGGTTTAGAAAATGCATCTGGTATCTTTGGAGGTGGGGAGATTTGGAGATTATAAACAAAGTGAATCCAAAGAGTACAACATTTAACTGGCTAACATAATCTTGGTATGAAAAGTAGACAAAGACAATACAAGGAAATAAAATTATATACCAAATTCACTTCTGAACATCAACGTAAAAGTCCTAAATAAAATATTAGCAAATCCAGCCCTCTAGATACTGCAATGTCCCAACCCACATTCTTCATTCACTGCCTGTAGATTATCTCACTCATGATTCTCAGGTTAATATCTCTAGTTGCGACTCTCCTCTAAACTTTCAACTGATACCAATGTCTACATATATAAAATATTACAAAATATTCAAAGCCATAGGAGAAGAAAACTTTCCTGAAATGAAGGAATATTTGAATCTGGTGATTAAAAAACTTAGCTACACTTTTTTATCCCTGTGTTTCACAATGGTCCATTCTTTTTTTTCCTGTTTCTAATTCTACTTTTATTTTTGTAATACTTTTCTTTTTCCCACCTATTTTTTTCCTGAGATCTGCCAGATCATTTTTCATCTTCTTCTGTTACCATGTCACTCCTTCTTTGAATGTTTATTATTTCTCTTTTTTGAGCTCTTTTTTTCATTAAAACTATATATGATTTTTGTTTCTTTGCAGGGAGAAGTGTTGATCCATAAATTTTCCTCTGCTTTGTTGCATCTTCTCGGGCATGAATTATTTATCATTATTTATCTGCTTTTTGTTTGTCATGCTTGTATCTTTATTCTTGTAGCACCTTTGTATAGATTTCATACTATTTCCTTTCATGTTATTATTCATTTTTTAATGGAGGCGAATGCTTTCCTGGTCAGCCCTTTGTTATAAGAGTCGAGCAGTGTTGGGACAAGGGATCAGGGGAATAAACTGGGTCAGACGCCGCTTGGGTTGGGTGGATGGGGTCTAAATACGTTTTCACCAACACTCCCCCCAGGGTGAATGGGTTTCTTCAGGTTAACAGGAAGTCCTCCCGTTGCAGGTTGAAGCTCAATGCCTTTCTTGCAATGACCAATAGTTCTTGTCTTCACCTAATTGACATCATCAAATACAGGGCTGCTTGTTTGCTTTTATTCCCTGCCCTGTCCCATGGAGAGCCTTGTTTTTGCAGAGATAGAGTGTGTGAGTTAACATCTTATGGGGCAACCCATGGTCAATGAGGGCAGAAGCTGGTTGATAAATGCTGCTCTCTTCCATCCCAAAGCCACACCAATCCTAAAGCACATTCCTTCTGCCTTGTTTCCTCTTCCTCAGTTCCCTTTACCTGTTCCATGTAAACCATCTGATATAAACTCTTTCTCTTGGGCTCCCATTTTTAAGATGGCAGCTCTTCTTGAGGAGTGTGGTTTGGAATTTGGGTTATTTTTTTCTTTTATCAAAGAAGTAGCTTTCTTTTCTGTCCTCTTTCTCCCCATTGTTTATGTTTGGTTTCAGAGAGGAGAACAGGCACGCTGATGCCTCCATATTTTAATTATTATTATTTTTAAAAGCTTCCCCAGCTTGTATCTTATCTGAATTTTTCTATCTGCAAAGAGGAAGCAAATCAAGTCCTACACTTTCCAGGTCGCTATGCCTTAGACCAACCTGCAATGTTTTCTTTCTCTCAAGTGATGTCTTGAAGTCCCTGAGCACATGAAAGCAACATTTGTAAGAAATTCAGGTCATTGCAAAAATCACTACATTTGGGAGGCATATATTCCTCTCTCTCTCTCTCTCTCTCTCTCTCACACACACACACACATGCACACACACACACACACACACACACACACACATACACACAGATTCAGAGTACATTAACACACCAGCAAACGAACAGGAAATGCAGTAACCCATTTTCATTTATAGCCTCCCACTGAGTCTCACCCAAGGTCACAGCCATAGCTGTCCTGAATTGTTTTACCCTTTTAAACCAGGTTTTGACTTTTCAAAACTTTTAATTATTTTCGCATAGGCATTCACATCAGGTGGTACAAAGGACTTTTCTACAGTCCAAGGCAGACTCACCCCTGGTCCTACTCTGGCCTCTCTCTAGGAAGCAGCATCTCTGCCCAGCAGCACTCTTAGGCCTGGACCTGCCCTCACCACAGCATTGGTGAACCAACCTCCTGGCCTGGGTTCTAGCCCCTCCAAGGGTAGAAATCATCTTATAAACATCCACTGCCCTGGGGTGAAGGAGCCTTTGTCCCAGTGAGGAGGAAATGGCTTAGTTTGGAACTTCCCAGGGGAGGGGTAATGAGGCGCTCTTCACCTACCCAGTTTGGAAACCATTGTTCCCATGTGTCTAGAGCATAATGGATCCTAGGACATAAGGGGACAACTGTCCAGGACTTTTATTTTCCACATTAATAAGTGGAAAGACTAAGGAGGCCTGTCTCTGTGGGCAGTGGTTGCTCCTGTCTCTTGGTGCAGGAGCTATTTGTGGGGGATGAGTGACACTCACCCAAGTCCAGAAAACTCCTGGAAGAGCTGGTTTTCCATCCATATCCCACATCCCATATGGCGGGCAGCCATATGCCTGCCCCTGGGAGACAGAGTGGATAATGAACTGCTGCTAGGACCTTCCTGAAGCCCCATCAGACCCTCCCTGCACGAATGGCAAGGCCTTTGTCAATGCCCAGAGTTTTTGCCCTGTGTGGGAATATTTTCCTTATGTCTCAGCACACCTGAGAGTCTCTGGAGGAGCCAGGAGTACGTATTTAGGTGTCCCTGCCTCTGTGGGATGAAATCTATGCCATACCACTCGGGGTGGGGGAAAGGGGAGCATAGTGGTTAGGGGTATGACTCTGTGTTGGACCACCAGGGTGAGGATCCTGACCACTTACTTCCTGCACGATGGGTAAATTACTCTTCTCTGTGCCTGTTTCCTCTTCAGTAAAATGAGGATCATCATAATAATACCACCTCATAGGGTTGTTGTGAAGGTTGATGAGACAATCTATGCCTAAAGCACAGTGACTGGCATATAGTAAGTGCTCATGAAACACTAGTTGTTTTTGTTTTTGTTATCATATGATTATCTAAGCCCAGAGTTATGGTTTGCATGTGTGTGTGATTGAGAGAAACTGATTTATTATGATGCAACTCAAAATGGGAGCCAAGGCAGCATTTCAAGGTGCCTTGTCGAGACAGGACAGAGGCCAGGGGACTTTTGGTACAGAAACAAGGCTGGAGATGTCACAAAATGCTGGAGGAGCAGAAAGCAGCACACCCAGACCTGTTTGTAGCTCAAAGCTTCAGCACCACCGCCAACCCGTTTGTATGGTTGGTAAGGGAAATAGTCTTCATTTTTCCTGCTGTCTCCACTACCTGCTCTATACACTTGGGTTTACAGTCCCAGAGCTGTGTGTGTGTTTGCACATGTGTGTCCACATCCACAGCCCCGTCAAACCTCAGATAGAGACTGCCCCCAAGGAGGCTGGGCAGACAGGGAGAGGATAACAATAATGGCGGAGAGGAAGCAAGGTAAACTTGGATTTTGGTTTTGAGACAGTTGTAAACTGGAAGCATCATAAGTCTCATCTATCCCCATACCTCTCCTGCAGGAGCAGGAGTGGGTTGAGGGATTTGTCTCCGCCTGCTGACGGGGGAGGCTCCTCGGCATCTCAGATGGCAAAGGGGTGGCCGCTCGCTGGATTTCAAGCAGGGAACTTTCCTGGGGAGGGAGGGGAGGGGGCTGAGAAAGGAAACATGCCATGGTGGAGGAAGTTGAGTCTGCGAAGCAGCATTTGAGTCTGAAGTACGGATACCGAGTATTGGTCTCCACCTTGATCGTCCACATTTACCCTTATTCAGGGCACCTGTCCCTGTCCTGTCTGTAAGGTGCCACCCTGCTGGGTTTCTGGGTGCAGGTCTTTGTGCAGAGGCCAGTACTGGGTGTCCTAGATAAGTTTCCACCAAAATGTGGCCTCTCCCTGCTGGCTGACGCCCAACACTGTTGCCGCTGGGCTTCTCCCTGGATTATTCTCCACCTCCCACCTTCCCCTGATTATTCCCACTTATTCACCAAGTCTCAGACGAATGGCACTTCTTCATCAAAGCCTCCCTTACCCCAGGACCCTCGTGCTCCTCTGCTGTAAGCTCTCTGAGCACCGTGAATTCTCTTTCAGGCAAACGGGACCTGCTTCCTCCTGGGTCATCTAACTCTCTCTTCTCGTTGCTCAGCCTATCCCAGGCTGGGGTGGGAGCCCTCCTTTGTTCACCAGGACACAGTGTATGTCCTTCCACTCTGGTTTGTTATTACACTGGGTTGTAATTGGCTGTCCATGTTCCCCACTAATCTATGAGCTCCTTGACAGCAGGAACTGCATCAGTCAGCTATGGCTGCAATAATGCTGCATAACGAACCATCCCCAAAGGTCAGTGCTTAACACAAGCTTGTTTTTCTCTTCCTTAGTTTTGCAGGTCAGCTGGCCTTGGCTGTAAGCTGTAGGTTGAATCCAGGTCTGCTCCACGCGTCTTGCATCCCTTTGAGACCAGTGGCTGCCTGGAGCATGCTCTTCTCATAGTGAATGGCAGGAGCTCAAGAGAAGCCCACCCATGCAGGCACTCTGCTCACATCACACCCATTCAAGTTCTGTTGGCCAAGGTAAGTGACATGGCCATGCCCCAAGTCAGTGAGGCAATGAGGTATCTTGCACCCAAGGTAGAGGGGGAGAGGGATGAGTACAAGCTACATGATAATCTAACTCCTCGCAAGGGCCATGGACTATGTGTCTTTAAAACCCCAGTATTTAGCATGGGACCTGCCACAGGTGGGTATTCAGTAAAGGCTGAATGAATGAACGGAGACGAGCAGAGGGTTGTGTTCTCTTTCCTAGGGATAACAGGGATGCGGGGGCTCACAGATTCCCCTCACAGAAAGATGGTATCACACGGAACTAAGTGCTCAGTCTAGAGACTTAATTTCCTCTCTTCCTCTTATTGACTGTGGCCTTGGCAGGTTACCTATTTGAGCCTCTTTTTTTGTTTTTTTCCCCTATAAAGTGGGAATGATGATACCTGCTTTATCAGGTTATTGCAAAAATTAAATGAGATTATCTGTGTAAAACAGCACCATGCCTGGAGTTTCATAAACACTTGTAAATGCTAGCTGATATTATTACTGATACCAATATTATTATTACTGCTACCATCTTGTATTCTGTCCGTCAGGGAGAAAATGAACTGAGTTGCAGTCAATTAAATAGAAGAGGATCTGCTGATTTGGGCGTTAACACTTCCAACCTGACTCAGGTTTGAAAAGAGCCTTAAGTATTTCCCATAATAACCTAGACCTAAGAATTGTGGGAAAGGGTTCTCCCTTATATACCTGAGAAAGGGTGACAGGCAAGAACCTAAATTTTCTCTCCCATGCCTGGGTGTGGAGGGATAGGGCAGAAAAGGAAGAGCTTATCTAAGGACATCATGGCATCCCTCTGTCTAACACCTCACGCTGTCCTGCAGGGAGCAAAAGAATGCAGCTTTGGGGGCCATTCAGTTAGAAGCCAGCTGTAGAGTGGACACGGGGATAAGGTGGTATTCCTAATCGTGTCCCTGGTGCTCCAGGTGGGTGGGCAGGGTGATATTTCCGAGCCCCTGGCCGGATCTCATTTAAATGGTGGGGACACTCTGTACCTGTAGCAAATCCTGCTGGAAAGGCATGATCCAGGGCGGGTGGGGACCATGGACCAGCAGAGAGCTTCCTGGTCAGCGTGGTAGAGTCAAGTGGGTCCTGGCAGGCAGGTGAGCAGGGCAGTCTGGGATGCTGCTGTTATCACCGCATCCTTGGAAGGCTGTGTCCCTCAACCAAGTTGGTGTGACAGTTATGGAGAGAGGGTTAAGCCAGATGCACTGGGGTAGAGAAGGGGCCAGGTGGGGCCTTGGAGGTGATGAACAGGTGGCTTCCTTCTGCCACAGCCATTGCGCCATGGGAAGCAGGGCAAAGCAGGGAATGAACATGATCCCATGCCTGCCCCTTACCAGCTATGTGACAAGGGCACATTGTTTCCTTTCCCTGGGCTCAAGGCCCTCATCTGTTATCTGGAGAGGTTAGATTCCATCCTTTCACTCAACAGATATTAGTGGAGGATCCATGATGAGCCAGGTGCTATTCTAAGGCCTTGGAGATCTACATATGAAAAGGATAAAAGTTATCAATGAAAATTAGATTTGGCCCTATATAACAGAAAGCCCAAAGAACAGCAGCTTAGGTCAAATAGGGGATTTGCTTATTTGTGTCACTTAAAGCAAGTCTAAAGACCCCAGATCAGAGCTGGCACAGTGGCCTCATAGTCACTAGGGACATGGGCTTCCTTCCCATGAATCCTTGAAAACATTTTAAATAATTGTTTTAAAGATCTTGTCTAACTCTACCATCTCTTTCTCTCTATGCCTGTTTCCACTGAATTTTTCGAAGACTTTAGGTCACACTGTCCTGTTTCTTCATATATCTAGTAAGTTTCAGCTGGATGCGGTACATTTTGAACTTTACATTGTTGAGTGCTGGATTTTGTTTAAAGGGTGTTGGACCTTTTCATGGCAGGCAGAGAAGTTACTTGCAGGGCAGCGTGATCCTTCTGAGGCCTTTTTTTAATCTTTTTAATTTTCTTAGGATGGGCCATAAGTAGGTTTAATTCTAAGATTAGTTTAGCTCCGCTACTAAGATGTGACTCACTTGGGGTATCCACTGAAAACCCAAGAATCTGAGACATCTCTATTCCAACTGATCAGAATTTGATCGTCTCTCAGCCCTGAGAACTGTTTTGCTTACAGCTCCCTGGTTTTTCTTTCCATAGCTTCCTGGATCTTCATTCTATGTTTATTGTACACTTTTCTGGAGCTATTTACTTAAGTAGCATCTCTCTGTCCAGTACTATGTCTCGAATTTCCAGCCCCTTCATCTTTTCTGAATGACAACCCCTGTCTCTTTAACTCAGAAAGAGCTATGCTCTGCTTGGATTCCCTTCTCTGCAGAAAACACCTCCAGACAGAAAGCCAGGGTGATAAGAGGCTCATCTTGTTTGATCTTTTTCTCAGAGATGAGTGTTCCCTAATGTCTGAAAACTGCTGCCTTGTATATTTTATTCAGTTTTATAGTTCTCAACAGTGAGAAGATAAGCCTGGTCCCAGTTACTCCATCATGGCTAGAAATAGAACTTCCTAATATATTTTTAACACCCATATCAATTAACATTATTCTGGCTATACAGTTTAAAATTTTGAATTAAAAAATTAATCAAATACTGATCTACTGAACTGTGACTCATAAAAATTGCACACACATGTACCTTCATGACATGGTACTAGTCACCAAGGAAGATTGCAGTTTATGGATTAATCTATTCCTAAGAATTCCACCTCATTAAAATGCACAATAGATTAAAATGTATTCACAAGAAGCACAAAATAAGATTGACTGTGCAAACAAGTGTGGTTTTAAATGCATTTAAAACAAGTCACACTTTCACAGGCATTTAAATAAGTCTGATAGGGTCCCACAGGAGGTGAGAGAAGGGGGTGCAAGCAAGTCAAGTTGGTGGCAGATGTGAGAATGGAGTCAAGAATTGTTAACTCATTTTCATAGATTGTCACCTAGGGGATTTGGAAAAAACTGATCCAGAAAATTCTGTATTAAATATTTCTTCACAGATTCTGTCAGGCCATAGCTTTATCTGTTCTGAGGGAGCTACCATGAATACAGCATTCACAAAGGAAATCTGTTTACATATTCCTGGAACGTTTGGAAAGTTTTTAGTTTTTGCTTTGTCTGGAAGTAAACAGACACTATGTGTGTGTGTGTGTGTGTGTGTGTGTGTGTGTGTTTTAAACCTTTCAAAACCTCTTTTCTATTGAAGGCAATCACCTGTGAATTTTTCCTTCTCTGACATCCCAAACATCTCCTTAACATCATCTGGACTAACGACATCTCCACCCTCAACTCTCCATACGCTTCCCTTTACTACCATCTACAACTGGCCTCAGGGCCTTTGCATATGCCTGGAAAGCTCCTCCTCTCCTGCCCACCCCCACTTTGCTTGAATACCTTGTCATCTTTTATGTTTCAACCTGACCTCCTCAGAGGCCTCCCAAGATCATCCAGTTTAATAACGCTATCCCTTTAATTCTTCCCTGCAATATCCTGTTCTTTTCCTTCAGAGAATGAATGCTGGTTTTTTCCTGGCCTGTTTGCCCTCAGATCCATCCTCCCTACCCTTCCCCTGGAGAACTCTGTACCTTTGGGGGACTGACTCCTGTGGACTATATTTCTCAGGCTTCCTTGCTTCCTGACATCTACAGAGGCTCAGCCTTTGGGAGGTACTGGTGGTTGTCAGAAAAGCAGGAGGAGGGGGCAAGGTCAGGTTGTCTCCCTTCTCTTTTGGCTTTGATTTCATCTGCACAAAGACTTAAGTTCCGCTGTGTCTTCCATTCATACTAGACATCCACTCGTTCCATGGTCCCAGTCCTCCTTGGGCAGCTCCTGTCTTGATTCTAGTTCCCCTCTCCCAAATGGCCCCAGGTGCTGGACTCTGATAACATCCCCTCCTCTCTTTGACCCTTTGCTGAATGGCTTCCTGCTGCTAATAATCTCTGGTTTCCTTCACTGTCCCAGACTTCTCAGCATCTCCATCACTCCTGTAAGTAACAAATCTCCTGCATTCAATCCTCTCTGACCTATATACTCAGTGATTTCTCTCTTCCTGGTACAGCATGTATCTCAAATTGTAGATATAAATGTATCAACTGCTGTGTCTTTTTTTTTTTTTAACATCTTTGCTGTGTCTTTTAATCTACTATCTGAATACCTCCCTCTCCCCTCCCACACACTCCATGAAAAAAGAATAATGTCTGTTTTCTTCACGACAGAATCTCTAACACCCAGCACAGTGCTTGGCTTTGGGTAGTTGCCCAATTAATATTTGTAGAATAAATGCTTGAAAGGGAAGGTGGCAGTGATGAGATCAAATTTACCATCAATCCCAGGTGACGTGAGTCTTTTCTTACCTTGGCTTAAGTTCTATAGATTGTTGAGAGCAAATCACAGTGAGCCATCCTTCACGGTTATGCAAAGAAAAAGTCTTACTGTGGGGAGACCAGAATGATGAGCCTTGATGCTATTATTGTTTTCTCTTTCTCTGTTCTTTCAAATTCCACTTTAGTGGAGAGAAAACTTTCTCATTTCCCATTTCAGCTCACTGAATTATTCATCAAAAATGTTCCACTGGTAGTTCCTCCTCTGTTGGAGTTTTGCAGTTCCAGAAACACTCTGCCCTGGAGTTGCAATCAGAGCAATTAGCAGCCCCTTCTGGGAGCCAGCTGGCCCGTACCCTCAGCTTCCCGACCTGGGCTGTGTGGATGGAGAGCCAGCCCTGCCTGGAGTCTGAGTTTTCTGCAGGGGCCAACCTGAGCTGGAAACCCCACTGAACCCCTGCAGACTCCCCCTCCTCCTTTGCTGGGACCAGCAGATCAAGCAACCATCCCCCCCGCAAGAGCTCAGGAGTTCTGCTAACGCCTCCCCTTGTCTGACTAGCTGATTCCTTTGTGCCTCAGTTTCTTTGGCTCTAGAGTGGGAAGGACAGCCCTTGCCTGCTTGCCTTGCAGTGTCCTTGGTGGGGTATGGGGCCCACCTTGGTCCTGAGCAATGTCCGCTACTGGGATTCCAATGGACTCTGTCAACTGAGAGAAGGTTCCTGCAGAAGTCAATTTGCCTGGAAGGATGATTTCTCTCCAATAGGCCTTGCTGTTTCGTTATAAGTGTATTCCCGTTACACGACCTCCATCTCTGGTGTCTCTCATCTGCACAGACCCATCCTTGTGGATTTGCATCTGTGTCCTGGTCAGAGCAGTGAGAAGATGAAATAGTCACACAACAGCGCTTTGCACAAAATAGGCGATAGCATACTTCCCACCATCATAGATCTCTCTGGGCTTTTTGTCACTTTGGGGGTCCTGTGTGGTACTGTCGGCAGGAGGACTTCTCAGCAAGAGGACACCTGGGGCGCCAGCATGAAGCTATGACTCTGTGATGCTGGGCCCCCAACGCTTCTCCTTTGCCGCAAACCTGCAAACCACTTTTCTCCGGCAAACCGCAATTTCTCCTTTGCCAGCATCCCTGATAGGCTCTGCCACCAGGGGGCACTCGAGAGACTGGAAGGCTGGAGGAGGAGGATGCTTATCCCTGTCTGCTTTCTGCTCCCGTGAGCAGTGCCTCACGAGGCTGCTGCTTCTCCCCGACCGCAGCAGCTCCTTCCCAAAGCAGCCACGAAATCCACACTGCAGTCTTTCCATTTTCCATCTTGCAGAACTAGCTGTGTTGCTCACTCCCGGGCCAGAAACACTGCACAAGCCGTCTGGCATCCCCTTCTCAGAGTCTGGGTCTCAGCCCCAGGGGCAGCCTCTGAGCACCAGCTGGCTGCCTCCTCCACCCGTCCACACCCACCCCCCCAGGTACCTGTCAGGTCCCTCCTCCAAGCTTCTAAGTGTTTTAATAATTCCAGTTTTTTGCCTTGGTGCCCACCCAGCCCGAGGGGGAGGGAGCTGTTCCCTGCAGTTGCTACCTCTGTAATACCTTAGAGTTCTCATTACCTTTTTTTTTTTTTTTTTGGCCGCACTGAGCAGCTTGGGGGATCTTAGTTCCCTGACCAGGGATCAAACCTGTGCCCATGCAATGGAAGTGCAGAGTCCTAACCACTGGACCGCCAGGGAATTCCCTCGTTTTTTTTTTTTTTTTTGCAGTACGCGGGCCTCTCACTGTTGTGGAGCACAGGCTCCGGACACGCAGGCTCAGCGGCCATGGCTCACGGGCCCAGCCGCTCTGCAGCATGTGGGATCTTTCCGGATCGGGGCACGAACCCGTGTCCCCTGCATCGGCAGGTGGACTCTCAACCACTGCGCCACCAGGGAAGTCCTAAGTCCTTCCCTCCCTTCTTAATGTCACAGTTAACAATTCTTCCATACAGTGTTATATGTCAATTATAGCTCAATAAAACTGGAGAAAAATTAAGATTCCCATTAAAAACAAATCTTCATATTAAATTCTCTCTGTTCAAATACCTAGTGGTTCCTGCCTGCTCACAGGACCCTAACTGATCCAGAAATGGGCGCCAGGAGCGGAGGCAGGGCTGGTGGACAGCGGGAGACCATGAGGGCTGGCCGAGCCCGTCGTGCACAGAGGATGCCAGTCAGGGTGGGAGAGCAGTTGCAGACCACCAGTCAGCTGTGGGTGAGCCACGACCAGGTTCCATGGAAGCACCCACGTGCACGACTTCACGGAGTCTGGGTCTTGAAAGCAGA